GATATATATATATATATATATATATATATATATATATATATGTGTGTGTGTGTGTGTGTGTGTGTGTGTGTGTGTGTGTGTGTGTGTGTGGTGTGTGTGTGTATCTTTGGTTGTTCGGGTTTTCTCCCGCGTAAGATTTGAAGTATCTAGGCAACGTTTCGATGAAGTCTCATTCATCATCTTCAGGCTTCTGTCTTCGGCTCTGTGCTTCTCAGAGTGATGTGAGCTTGTAGCTGCTTCTTCCTTTTAACTGCTAGTGGGGGTGTGACTTGATTGGGTGGGGGCTTGGCTCTGTTCTGATTGTGTGTGTGTGTGTTCTCATTGGTAGGGGGTTTGGCTGTGTTGTGATTGGTTGGGGGGTTGGCCATGTTCTGATAGGCTGGAGGCATGTTCTGTTCAGGTGGGGGCTTGGTTGTGCTCAGGTTAGTCTTAGTTGCTGGGGGATTTGAGCTGGTGAGCTGTGATCCTGCTGTTTGGCTTCGAGTTCGTGGTCATGCTGCATCTTCATGGTGGGTGTAAGTTTGCTTCATGTATGGCTCGGAGGGGTTTGAAGTGGGTAGTGATGCAGCTGCAGTGCGGCTTCTGGTCTGTGGTCGTGTCTCATCTTCTGTGTGGGTGTGAGTCTGCTTTCTGCGTGGAAGTGTGGTGGTGGCATCTTGTGTGGCCCTCATGCGTGTGGGTCTGGTGTTGTTCTTCATGTTAGGTGCTCGTCTGCTCATGAGGGCGGGTTTCCAAATGGCTGGTAGGTGGGAGGTGTCATTTCGTTTATTCATGCTGTGTGGGCGTTTTTCTATCTCTATGGCTTCTCTGATTATTCTGCTGTTGAAGTGTTCGGTTTTGGCGATAGTTCTGGTATTTTTAAAATCAATTTCATGTCCTGTGGCTTTGAGGTGTTGGACCAGGGAAGAGGTCGGTTCTTCTTTTTTAATTGAGTTCTTATGTTCTTCGATGCGTGCACTTATTCTTCTGTTAGTTTGTCCAATGTATGTGGTGGGGCAGGCAGTGCAAGGGATTTCGTATACTCCTTGGTTTTCTAATTCAATTTTGTCTTTGGGGTTTCTTAGGATGGTGGATATTTTTCTGTTTGTGCAGAATGCTGTTTTGATGTTGTGTTTTTGGAGGATCTTGCTGATTTTGTCTGTAGTGCCTTTTATATATGGGAGGAGGACTTTGCCGTTCTCTTGTTCTCTGTCTTACACACTCTCACCAATGTACTAGCAGCCAATGGATTCCAAAGAAAGAAGATTACCCACCTAATCCAAAAAGAAACCCCAACCAAAATCCAAGACAGAGAACAAGAGAAGATTCGCGGGAGAAAACCTGAACAACCAAAGATCCACATACAAATACCCACGAGAACCTCAGAAAACATACATACATACATACATACATACATACATACATACATACATACATACATACATATATATGTGGCATTCAGCTTTGTTCGGGTATTTTCCCATGTCATTGTAGTTGTGCTTTTAAAGTTGTAGCAACGTTTCGGCAGAATCTCATCTGCCATCATCAGGCTTCTGTATGATGACAGATGAGATTCTGCCGAAACATTGCTACAACTTTAAAAGCACAACTACAATGATGTGGGAAAATACCTGAACAAAGCTGAATGCCATACATGTAAGTACCCGTGAAAACTTAAGCAAACCCTTACACCACTTCAGACAAATTTTTATCAAATATCTTTTTTAAAACGTCCAGTGTTGGAACATTCACAACTTCTGGAGGCAAGTTGTTCCACTGATTAATTGTTCTAACTGTCAGGAAAATCCTCCTTAGTTTTAAGTTTGCTTCTCACCTTGATTAGTTTCCACCCATTGCTTCTTGTCCTGCCTTCAGGTGCTTTGGAAAATAGCTTGACTTCCTCTTTGTGGCAGCTCCTGAGATATTGGAACACAGCTATCATGTCCCTCCTTCTTTTCATTAAACCTGTAACTTTTTTATCTGGTGTTTAAATTGGTGGCATCTGAAATACATTTATCTAAAGTAATACATTCATTTTTATTATTGCTATAAATACTAACTAGGAAGTTTTAAGCTTTTTTAACCTTTCAAACTTTTATTTAATTTCTTTCTGTAATTTATTATAATTATTTTAACATTTTATTGATTTAATCTATTTAAGCCCCCATCGGCATACAATATTCAATAAAAATAATACATATTTAAAAACAAACATTTAAAAATGGGGAACACAACATTAAAATGGACACAATTAAAACAGAATATTATATATACAAACCCCAAGCAGAAAGAGAAAGATTACATTCATCTCAGTAATGGAGCCATCTAAACAAGTCTCCAGTTCCCTGAGATATCTAGGCTTGAAAGGATAATCTGCTTTCGAGGTTCTTCTGGAACTTTAAAATATATATATATATATCTTTATTGTATCTTATGAAATAAACTCTTGGATATTTCATTGGATATTTTGTTATCAAACAGTAAATCTACTTTTTTACATTTTTTCCTTGGAAGTTACATTAAGTACTATGGGACTTTATGGTTTCATGGTTGTTAATAGTGTATAATCTGTATAAGATTTCATTGTGCATTCTTCTTGAATTTTTCTGCTGTTTATCTGTTTATTTATTTATTTATTTTTGACTTATTGGCCCTGATTTACATGGCAACTACAAATAGTAAAGAGAAGTCTGAATGCCCTCGTCTTGTGACTCTGGAGGTTGGAAAAAAATGCAGTGTTTTATTCATTTCAATTTTTGCTTTTTGCAAAAATTCTTCAGCCAAGTTTTGAATTCTTCTCCAGAATTAATTTTATTTAACACTTTTTAAAAAGACTGTTCTCTTTTCTTAGCAATCTCCTAAGGGAATAAGAACAGAGGTCAGGAATTAGTAGTTAATGCGTTAATGTTTATAGGGTTAGAGAAGTTCTCTCACAAAATCAAAGCTACAACAAAGTTGCTATTTTCTATACAGTTTTAAACAATTACAGGGATTTATGTAAAATTCTCACATTTATTATACAACATCGTTTATGTCAGTTCTCCTAGTTCCTTGATGGCAAACTATGGAATCCATGCCACAGGTGGCATGTAGAGCCCTCTCTGCAGGTAGGTGAGCTGTCACACCAGTTCAGCTCTACCACATATAAGCACGCTTCTCCCGCCAGCCAGTTAATTTTCAGGACTCTGCCATGCATGCACGAGGTGCAGGGTGTATGCAGGTGATGCATGAGCATGTATGGGGGCAGGGCGAACTGGGGGAGTCGCATGCACAATGCATTATGGGTGCAGGCATGCATGTGTGCTGTAGTGCACACGCACACACTTTCGGCACGCAATGACAAAAAGGTTAGCCATCACTATCCTAGTTGGTTCTGGTCTGATATTTGCTGTCCGCTCTTTTTTTACTTCTGAAATTTCAGCACATAGCCACCTATTCCTTGTCATAGCACTGTGATGGTGAATCTATGGCATGCATGCCATGGGTGGCACGCAAAGCTGTTTGTGCGGGCATGCGGGCCCCAGCCAAACTTACCTGCACTGCAAATGCACACACATCCGAGCTTATTTTTGGCCCATCTGAGGGTGTTTTTGCCCTCCGACGCTCGAGGGAAGCCTCTGCAGACTTGGGAGGCCAAAAAATGGGCCTTCCGGAAATACTGGAAGAATTAGAATTCTTTTATTTATTTTATGTGATTGGACACACAAGGAATTTGTCTTGGTGCAAATGCTCTCAGTATACATAAAAGAAAAGATACATTCGTCAAGAGTCAAGAATCATAAGGTATAACACTCAATAATAGTCATAGGGTACAATAAGCAATCAAATCATACTAGGAAACAGTCAATATAGATTGTAAGGATACAAGCGACAAAGTTACAGTCATACAGTCACAAGTGGGAGGGGACGGGTGATAAGGAGTGATGTAAAGGTTAATTGTAATAGTAGTGCAGACGTTGTAAATAGTTGGACAGTGTTGAAGGAATTATTTGTTTAGCAGAGTGATGACATTTGGGAAAAAAACTGTTTTTGTGTCTAGTTGTTCTGGTATGCAGTGCTCTGTAGCATTGTTTTGAGG